ACAAACAAATGATTTATACTAAAATGTTTAGTAAAATTTTATTTCATTATAAGCGTTAGTTGTATTATATTATTACACCAAATTTAATTTAGTAGATTTAAATTAGATAACTGAGTTTAATTCTGATAAATGCTTGAAAAACAAAGTGACCAATTTTAAAGTACATGTAAATACATTGTACATAGGTAAAAGTATTACATATATGGAATATTTTATAAGTTTAAAGACTTTATTAAATAAAATAAAACTATCTTTTCGGATTATTTCGCGGATTTATTTTGATTTTTGGTTCCCGACGTTTCGAATGCTTTACAGCATCCATGGTCACGGGAGAGACTGAGGTGTTACATGTCTTAAAGATATAGTTGTTACAGACAGCCTACCCACAATTAACAAAATGAAAATTGCATCAATTACATTACAATATTTTTAACTTTAAACATTTTTTATAACTTTAATTATAATTGAATATGGAAAATTATTTATTTAATTTTTGCTATTATTTTTATAATTATTACAATTTTAAAAATATTAATTAGTAATCTATATTTAGTGTTGCCATTATTATATTTATAACTATAAATAAAAATATAAAAATATAGTATTAATTATTAAAGCCATATAATTGTTCTATGTGTAATTTAAAAAGTTAAAATTAATTACGGATAATCATTTTAATTTAGTTTGCTATTATTTAAAAACAACTTACTAAGCAACACTATTAATATATACTTTTACAAATGAAAAATATTAATCTGATAAGCTGTCATTTTGATCTACACAGTATGAACTTACTACATCTGCCTGTCTGTTATTTTTATATTTATTATTTGATTTTATTATATTAATAACAGGATCCCATGACGATGGTAGTACCCAGCCATCTTCCCTATTGAAATTCGAATTTCATTATCAATTCAATTCAAATTCAAATTCAATTAGATCAAAATGACAGCTTATCAGATTAATATTTTTCATTTGTAAAAGTATATATTAATAGTGTTGCTTAGTAAGTTGTTTTTAAATAATAGCAAACTAAATTAAAATGATTATCCGTAATTAATTTTAACATTTTAAATTACACATAGAACAATTATATGGCTTTAATAATTAATACTATATTTTTATATTTTTATATTTTTATTTATAGTTATAAATATAATAATGGCAACACTAAATATAGATTACTAATTAATATTTTTAAAATTGTAATAATTATAAAAATAATAGCAAAAATTAAATAAATAATTTTCCATATTCAATTATAATTAAAGTTATAAAAAATGTTTAAAGTTAAAAATATTGTAATGTAATTGATGCAATTTTCATTTTGTTAATTGTGGGTACGCTGTCTGTAACAACTATATCTTTAAGACATGTAACACCTCAGTCTCTCCCGTGACTATGGATGCTGTAAAGCATTCGAAACGTCGGGAACCAAAAATCAAAATAAATCCGCGAAATAATCCGAAAAGATAGTTTTATTTTATTTAATAATGTCAAACATTCGCGTAAATCTAAGAAAGTTTAAAGACTTTTTTCCTATTATTCATCTTTGTGTTATTTTAAGTGAAGGTGCCCAGTTGTTGCATATCAAAAATCCTTAATTATTATTATAATTTAAATGAATATAATATTATAATCACATGAAGACACTGGCCATTGCATGCTCAAAAAGCTAAACTACCCTTGACAAAATTTTTCAATAAGAACATTTACTCTATGGAATTACGAAATATTATTAAATACACATAAACTAGTCGCACATATTATACATTACATATTAATAAATAAATAAAAAAGATAAAATAAATGACCTAAAATGCGCAGCTTTAAACATTAAAAGTAATAAATAAATAAATATATTTAAAGTTATATAGCGCTTATACGTCGAAGTTTTGTTTTATTATTTAGTTTATCGTCTCGCCTTCGAAATGTTGACCAATTTTCGAATTATTTTCAAAATCTAGAAATAAAGTATGGATTAAGCTTTGTAAGGACCGTAAAAACATATATCCTGTCCACTTTTTTAATTCACTAAGCTACTAAACTCGCAGGCAAACAAAAAATATTAGACATCCTTTCATTAGCCCAAAAAAATGCTATCATCGGTCATTTAAATCCTCTTCTCGAAAACTTTCAGCGAGTCATCGTTCGACAATCGCTGGTAACTTTCTTGCCTTTTCCTTCCATTTTTTAGCATAAGTAATTACTATTTTTACATTATGAAAATCATTAAGGTGTGGTTAATGTTAATGATAATATATTATTATAAAAAGCTAAGTAAAATATTTTAAAGTATTAAATAAAATATGTGAATGCTTAGCTTTTTATTTAATTTTTTTCTCACTTTCTGATAAATATTTTTATTTCATTATTAGTTCTCAATTTAGTTTGTATAATGAAAAGCCTGGCGGTAACTTTTAATCTGCCTAAATCTAGCTGGCTTAATTAAGATAGTTCGTTAAAAATATTTTAATAACAATTTTACATAAACATTTGAGCATACGGTTACCTAAGAGTCGGACTTCATCGACGTATCATCGGATTTTACGCCATCTGTGCTGAGCTTGCGATACGAAAACAGCTAATAAATATAATTCAAAAGTAAACTAGAAACTATCACTTGTTTACAAATCATATTAAAACAAAAAGAAGAAACAAATATGAATAGAAAAGTTAAGCAAATCAACACACACACATACTATACGAGGGTTTGCATCTTCTGGCAGGAATACCGTCACTGGAACATGCCACCTTGAATAGCGTAACATGATAAGAATACACACTTCTTAGGAAGAAAATAATAAAAGATTTCTATAGAAGAACATTTAATGGCTATAAATAAATTAAACTTTTTGCTTTGGAAATTGTTAAGCACATGTTGTGCTACATAATAAGAAGTTAAATCGTGAAATACAAGGCGGAACACGTCGTGTAGATTGAAACAAAAACTATCTGAAGTTTTTTTGTAGTCTTCGATAGAGTTAAGTAAAAAGGATGAAGTTGCTAACGCATTCTTTCACTTCATTCGCAAACATCAATCGTGTACGCTACAGGTAAGAAATTCGTTTTTCGCGGTCGCGAAAATGGTTTATTATGTTCTCGTAATAGCATTGAATTTAATTGAAAATGTAATAAGAATAATATATTATTATTAATATTTATGTAATAAGATAAAACTGATTTCTTTTTTATTAACTCTGCTATTTTTGCTGTCTTTTGCCAGTATAGGATGGGCTTAACCAGCAGTTGGCTTGACTGATTTGATTGACTACGGCTGCGCCACACGTTAACCCTCGTAGTGTAATTTTATATTAAGAGAATTAAAAAGCATTTTTTTCTTGAGTAATATAAGAATAACGATAAAATATACTATGTCGATTATTTAATTATTTATTTATTTATAAAGAACTAATTTTTCGCCTTCGCTTAGATATTCCTTCACTGTAGCCCACATAGAATATTTGTTGGTGTAAAAAAAGAGGTTATAGTTAATATTAAACTCACCATCCCAGCTCGAACATGACCGATTTAGAAATTAGAAAATAGAATTGCAGAAGTACGTCACTTTCGACCCTATTAATATTATTAAAACCAACGATTTCGAGTCATGGACTTTGATTGTCATACTCAGCTTTAACAACTTTACAGGTCTCAGTACCGTGTGTCCGACGTCTATACATATAATAAAATTGTAACTAAGCCAAATCTGTACATTAGATATATTTTAGAAAATCTTATTGCAATAGACATTATTATCGATACAGAGTCCAAATATATAGTTTTTACAATTTTTGTCTGTCTGTCTGTCTGTTACCGCATCACGAAAAAACCACTCGACAGATTTTGATGAAATTTGGTATGACGATAACTGGTTATCCGGGTCAACATATAGGATACTTTTTACCGCGGGAAAATATCTCATTTCTGAGAAAAATAAAAAAAACTGCATTGTAAGAGTTTTTGGTCATCTGAACGCGGGCGGAGCCGCGGGCAATGCTAGTCTTTTATAAAATAGCAAGGCTACATCATCTCTGATAATTGTCAAGAATCAAGATAGATGTCAATCCATAACAAAGACAGTTAATGGGTGATTGCTGTATGAGAAAAGGAAACAGATCAATAAGGAAATTAAAGTATTAATAGTAAAAAAATATAAAAGTAAAAGAAGTAATTTTACTGTGTATTTTCGTAATTGTTTTCAAAAAGTGTTTTGGAAGTAATTTTTGTAATTTTTTTTAGGATGTTCTTGTTTTTGCTTTTAAAGTTATTGAGTAAAAATGGTAATCATGAAGGAATGAAATAATTCAAGTGTAATATAGACCACTTTTTTATTAATTAGTATGGTATTTAATTGTAATTAATTATTTATTTTGTTTATAGTAAAGTGTATGTAATATTAATTATATTTACATATTCAACCAACGTGCCTCGGTTCAAACGAGTCTTCTTACCTATAAGTACTCGTATAACTTAGTAACTTGCACAAGTGAACTAGAAACTTGGTAGCTCAGAAGACAAAGTGTAATAAAAGCTTTTTATATATTTAAGCACTTTGAATTGCACTTTCTTAACAAGTTAAACAAGTTTTTTCCCCTGTTTAATGTCCTACCTGTAATAAAATTTTCTCGACAATGCTTCATTTAATTTTTTTGTTTTTAGTTTTTTTTAGTTTTTTCTTGCGGCAGCTCATAAAGTTATAAGAGGTAATGAAATAACTTCAGCGCAAAAATGTATTAAATATTACATCAAAGTCATTCTTTACCATGCTAACAATATAATTACAAACAGGTATTGTTTTTTTTTGTAAATACCTAATAATTTCGTCCACTTGACCTTTGCTCTTTAAGCCAAAATGTCGAGTGGAGAACAAGTGCTAATTAGTACTACTGTAATTGGGATATACCTTAACTGCCTCCGTGGTGTAGTGGCTAGCATGTACGGCTGCACAACCGGAGGTCCTGGGATCGAGTCCCGGGTCGGGCCAAGTTTAGTTATTGAGTCTTTCTGTATAAGTAAGCCTCAGTAACAGCCCGGAGTTGGGAAGTTGGCGGTGTTTCACCCCCATGCCTCGGAGAGCTCGTAAAGCCGTCGGTCCTGCGCCTTAACTCTCCCTGGTCGTGTCGAGCAGTCGTCCCACCGGAATATGAGAGTGACAGGAATAGAGAGTGCACTTGTGTCTGCGCGTACACTTGTGCACTATAATATCTCCTGCGCAGTTGGCTAGTCTCAATGAGATTGGCCGCCGTGGCCGGAATCGGTAGGGAGAACATCATCATCAATTGGGATATAATTGGAATTAATGATTTTTTTAAATAATAATAATAAAAACTCTTTACTGCATACACAAAAGAAGAATAAGAAAATACACTGGTAGGAAAATGCACAAGAAGCGGCCTTATCGCTAAAACAGCTAGTTTTTCCAGGCAACCTTTAGGTGTAGGAAATAGCAAAGTGTGAAGTGTCCCTTCCACTTCACACTGTGCTATTTCCTACCCCTAAAGGTTGCCTGGAAAAAATGACAGAGTTAGGAAAAATACAAATGATATATAGGGGAATGAGGGGGGAAACCAGATAGGGGGTGAAAACAGATAGTTCCTATTTCATTGCTTCACGTACAGCTGTCTCATTCAAGCTAGTGGAGAAATACGCGCGAACGCTTACTCTGTGCGGTTGCAAATCGCGGCGACGGTATCATCTCGGCGCGTGCGTCTTTATAACGAAATTTAAGAACAAGGGTAAGTTATCTAATATTTAATTTTTTTTAAAGTGTTATCATTAAACTTAGCTGTGTGCTATTATATACAGTTGTATTTTTTAAGAAGTAATACATATTTAATCTTTGAAAACGGTATTGGTTTTTGCTATGAGAGTTACCATAACCTGTTAGTTATTACAATTTCAAACATGGTACTTGTGGGGTACAAGCGGACGGGGTGATTCCGACTACCCGGTTTCACCCCGATCAATTTTATATGTAGGTATTGTGGGTGTTTGTTTTATTCCTCTTTTTAATTACTATTTATTTTTACAGAATGCGAGCGACAACATGCCACGAACATATGTGAAAAAGTCAGATAAGTTGCAATGGTTGGAGTCAGACATGCTTTTAGCCCTAAATTCGGTGATAGAAAGTAAAATGGGTTATCTTTTAGCGTTACATAGTGTACCCAAAAGTTCAAAAGGCTTTAATAGAGCTGTAGTGTCATCATTTTTTAATGTTTTAGATACCATTTATACTAAGCATGCTTTGAATCCCACGCAAATTTATTACATGGACGAGACTGGATTGACCTCTGTACCACAACACAAACTTAAAAAAACCGACTTCCAGGCACTAAAATGTAAAAAATAACTAAACGATGTTTTTCATTAAGAATAGATACCTAATCAGATATTTTCGAATCGGTAAAAAGAAGAATAATAAAACTATCAGGAGGATTCGGAGTCTTTGGTTTGAGGCAAAAAGTACAGTCAAACTAAGTCCACAAATGAATGGTACCAATGCACTGCTTGACTTAAATGGGCTCACGAAGTTGCATCGGTTGTTCTGAGCAAGAATTATTATTTTTTGTATGCAAAAACTGCGAATAATTTGAATATTCAGTTTTATTGTTAGTATCTGTATTCACCCATAGAATATAAAATACCTATCCGATTTGACCCATAGGTATGGGGTGAATTCGGATTCATAATTTTTAATTAAAATTGTTCTATTTTATAGTTATTAAGATTGATCTTAAACATTTTCATACCAAAGTTATGCCTAAGGTATACTTAAACATTTATAATATTGATTATCTCAATAAATAACATAGTGATTTATTTATTGTGTCTTCTTCTTAACTATCCGGTGTCCCCCCACCTTCCCCTACATACATATTATGATATTTTATATGCGTATATAAAATAAAATAATAATATCAGTTATAGTAATATAGTTTACATAGGTAGTTAGTGCTCTTACCTTTGATTTATATATGTATTAAAATTAAATATTAAATTTGAGAAGGGTACATATCTACTTTAATGGATTAGGCAGAGATCTACAGACTATCAGAATATTTATGTAAGTAAAGCAACGAAACATTGACTTGTTTTTTAATAATTTTTATATTATAAACATTTATTAAATTTTAGACTAAATTAATTTCCTTTTAAATTACAACTTATTTCATTAACTATAATATATAATCATTAAAGGATAATCCAATAAGGAACAGGATAAAATAACATTTACAAAAATTAAAATTGTAAGGATGATGGACGCTATCTTTAATATTCGCACGGCCAGAGGCACTGAAAGTCTGAATAATCAAAGATTGGCTTTTTGGAATAAAATTTATTTTTAATAAAATTATGGCATATAAATGAAACAATTTATTCAATATTTCATGAATGTAAGTGTATTAAAAAGTCATATTACAGTATTCTGTAATATGACTATATTTTAATATTATTATGAATAATATTTTATTCCGTAAATTATAACACTGTTTCTTATAAAAGTGAAATTTTATGGCATGCGTTTGATGGTAACCAGTAACGGCTGGTTTTTGCCCGCAGTTTCGCTCGCTTGGTATGTACGCCAATAACAATATTTTTTAATCCAGGTATAAGACCTCCTTTCCAAATTTAATTTAAACCCGTTGTGCCGTTGTGCCATTTCAGCGTGGATAAATAACCTACATTCTTACTCACCCACTTTGCGCCTTTATGATATTAGTGTAGTAAATATCTGCATAGGTATATGTAATAAGGAACATCGGTATAAAATTTTCAGTGAATATAAAATATATTGACATAACTATAAAGTAATCTATATAATCTGAGAATAGAGATACCAATAAAAATTATTATGATAGCACAATATTACAATAATTGTCCAAACTGCAAAAAGTATTCTGGTATAAAGAGCCGCCTTCTATGGATAAATTTCTTTAGAGTTACATTAAAATAAAGTGTCAGTTTTTACACGTATTAATATGTACCCCGCATATGCACGTATGCATAACTGGTCAAACATCCAAATTATAGAGATACATTAATAATATGTGTTTTATAGGTAATACTAGTGTTACCCCCGGATTTGCACACGCAGCTTGCTTATGAATATAACTAGAAAAATATAGCAAATCATTCTATATAATATAGCATCTTTATAAAGCAAAAACTTGGGACCTTCATGTACAATTATGTTAGCTTAGACTCCCTCAATTCAACCCTGTCGCAAAATTCACTTCACTTAAGCATTAAAATATCCTTCTAAAATATTAATTTATCCAATCTTCTTGTTACGATATTAAACATTTCAAACTATAAACTATAAAAGATATAGCCAGTAAATTCGGTATTCTGTAAATCAGGTAATATAAAGAATCAAAGCTACTACAATTTGATAATAGAAGCCGGCGAACTCATCGTGACAGAAGCACGTCGGGAAATAAATTTCAAATCGTGTTAGAGTGTGTTCACGTTGTTGAACGAATCATACAGTATTTTAAAGATTTTATATTTTTAGTTTCAGTTTTATAAAAAAAATATGTGAGCGAGAGAATCTAGTTGAAAATTATGGTATCTTATTATAAAACGCAGTATGTATAATATATATTATATCACTCCAAAATTAACTCATGAGTGATGAGTAACTGTTTACATTTATAATCACAGCAAAACTATTAAAGGCACAGGCAATATATCTATAGTTAGTATAATAATATAAGCTCACAAATAAAAAAATACATTTATCCGTTGCTATAAAGAAGAACTATAAATAAACAAAATACTATTTCCCATCTAAGTACAATGAAATCATGTCCGTAATTCAAACTACACTTAATCCGAACTTGAATCTAACCTAAAATCTACATATGACACATAAACATAGTGTAACAAAGAAACAAACAAACAAGCAAACTAGTAAATATTTTATTTCATACTTGGCCTTTTACCCTAATTTAGTTAGACAAGTTAAAATCGACTAAACACCTAAAATGTGTACTTGTTACTTTACCTGCCAGGAATTAAAAATGGTATTGTCTTTTATAGATAGTTGTTTTAGATAATTTACTTAAAATACATATTATTTATCGCAAATACTTCATCAAAATTATAACTAATTAAAAAAAACGTAACATGGCATTAATCAATGTCTTTCTTAGTCTTACATTTTAAATACATCTGAAATATCCATAAAAAGTAAATTAATCAAATATTCATATGTTCAATCATATGAATAATATGAATATCGTAATGGAAACCTGCACATTTACTTTACGCCCGGGCGATGTTAGTTAAACGAAAAATATTTCTGTATCGCCTATGGGCGGCAACCAACACGGCTCATACGATTTTCTGCGCTTTTCACGCCCTTGGCGTAGCTTTTCTATTTTATTCTGTTTCTCAATTGCGTTTAAAAGTATGTTATATACTCTTATCTTTCAACGAAAAACTTTACGCTTTAATGTATCTTGAGCTTAGGCAAAAATATAATGTATTTTTACAAAAGACTATCTACTTACCCTCGCCTCTCTCGGTTCGTCCCCAGGTTGATTCCCCATACAAATTTTCATCCCCATTGTCACCCCCTTAAGGGATGATTTCCGGAATAAAATTTATCCTATATTCTTCCCAAGGTCTCGAACTATCTTCTTGCCAAATTTTATCTAAATCGATTCAATAGTTTTTGAGTTTAATCGTTAAAAACATACAAAAATACAAATCTTTCCTCTTTATATACATATTAGTGTAGACGTAGATATTATAATAATTATTCTTTTAATATTTCTATCGTAATTGTTTAAAAGTATTCAATCTTTAATTTATTAGGTTAATAACCACAATAAATAACTGGAAATTCTTATTTATTGACCCATGTTATTTTTATGTTTATACTTTTTACAATGCGTGCATTGTAAAATTATTTAACATACGTACGCATATTAAAGTAAACTATGTCCATCAACATAATACAAACCATCTGTGTTCTTAACTTATTAATTGGTAGCAGCTTTCAAATATTAAAGCTGGCTAAATAAACAAAATAAGTCGTTCACACGTTTTAATGAAAACATAAGGTAAAAAACGTATTCTTCTAATATGATGCTGATTTTTTGTATATATTTTTAATAGTTATAGTGATTAATTATATAATATTATGTAGTAAATAGTACATAATATGCAGCATGTTTCGAAAAATATATGGGAACGGGGAAAATATAAAAAAATAATACTCAATTTCCAATACCATTTAAACGTTAACAAGGATTCTTGC